AAAATGGCGGCTCTCCTTTTCGCCTCTCTTTGAACCCACCTGCAATGAAGAAAAAATCAAACAACCACTTGTAGTTTGTCGTTGTCTTGCAAGGGTTCGGAACAAAAGTCAAGCGACCAGGCAAATCTGGTACGCGGAACCGTCGAGAAGCACAACCTCGCCAGCACCAGTTGCATTTCCAACGGTTGGCGCCTGCAAGAGAAACCAAGGAAGCCTCTCCAAACCTCCATCCATGGAAGGGGCAAAATCTCTGGCGAACATCTGTCGAGAAGTTGCCGGGTTTGGGCCAACCTATGGCAACCTATACAAGCGCATACTCGCTGGGACACTTGGATGGTCAACCGCCTGAGAGGGTTGGCTACCCAAGAAGAAATCAGGAAACTAACCCCACTTACCCCATATCAGGACATGACTTACCCAATATAGGGGCTAAACAATTAATGATGGTGCACCCATTTGAAGATGACCAAACCTGGCTTTAAAGCGCTTGTAGTATGTGGGCTGAACATCCAAGATTTCATGTGGATTGGGCCTTCGGCCAGATTCCCTTTTGCGCATCTTCCCATCACAGGCAAACTTTCGTCGTGTCGTAGATGTCGGACATGAACTTACCCTGGCGAGGACTATCCCACGATCTTGGGCGGGACCCTGTCGCGGACATCATTTCCATCTGGAACGATGTCCAGCAACCATGCTTGAGGATGGTCGCCATTCAACTTCATGCCTTTAAGGTCCCTTTAAAGTCCTGCCTAAAATGGGCACATGCAAAGACAGAACTTGCATCCATAGCTTGCTTGGGCCAACCAAGGGCGTTTCAGTTTCCTTTGGGTTCTCAGGTCGGCCAGGTTTGAAAAGCGGGGGTGCTGCGAATTACTTGTCTGTTGACACCTCATGCAAACAGGTGCTACTCGGCTGAACAAAAAAATTGGCCTTGTAAATGGTCGTTGCTCGCACGTGCCACAAATGAAACTCTAGACCGTGGCCATGGTGACCTCCCCCCCAAAAAAGAAATGAATTGCACAGCACAAATGGCCGAACCAAACTGGAACCAGGTTGTTTGACTGCATCTCGAAGGTTCAACCCCCCAATTAAAAAAAAGAAAGGTTGACTCAATTTGGATGAGGACAATCCTTAGCTAAACAATGCTGGTTACATGAACCCCCATGGTTCTAGTGGTTTGAACTCCAGGGACATCACATCTTCACCCAAGAAACCGCACGGTGACGGGTCGGGTCCACCCCCTGCCTGGGCGTTCACAAAGTCGGGATTGTCTCCTATGGCATCGCGGTAGTCGTTGTTCAAGGGATAGGCCGACACCAGACCTGCCTGCGTGAAATCGGGGTAAGGGTAGCAAGAAAAAGATTTTCAGCTCAGATGTCCATTGTCAGGTGAGCCAAATTGCCCGTGCTATTCCGCACCCAATCCTCAAGTGGTACCCCAGGCATTCGCACCCCGGCGACTTTCCAAAGGGCCCATCCCTTTTGTTCACAGCGAACACACGTCAAGCAGGTTGTGCTCACTGGTTGACCGGGGTGGGGCCGCCTGACGCCCCGTACCTGGCTCTGACCTCACCCGATGCTAGCTCCAAGCTCGCGCCTTGTCACATGTGCTGGGGAGGTTCGGGCCCAGCTCTTGGCCTGAGAGCGCCCTCTTCCAGAACTGCAGGCGGGCGAAATGGGCGTTCTGCTTGTAGCCAGGATGCCCATGGCACCACCTTCCAGGGGCCTGCTGGTGATATTAAATAACATCCTTCTTGGCTCAAACACCTACTTTCGATTTCCTGCTTCCCGATGCGTAGGTGTCAAAATCGGGATATGACCCCCAAAATGGCGGCGTTCCTTTGGGTTTCTCTTGAAACGACTCCAAGATTCAAAAGGTCACCGAGCTTCAAAAATGTCCCACACACACACAGATGTGGCAACCAACCCTGCCTTCCACAATCCTTGCTGCCGGTGCCCAGGATGAGGTCCGTGCCGTACTCTGTAGCTGTAGCTGTCAGGGTCAGACATGCACTGCACTCGCGAGCCCACGTCTGAGACTGGCATGCTTGTTTCGCCGCAAGTGGCAGCTTAAAGGGAAGCAACCCCCAACCACTGACTTTGAGAACCGCCAAAAACCGCCCCAAAAACTGACCGCTGTAGCCAGGTTCAGAGGCCCCGCTTCAAAACGTCCCCGGCCGTCTGCACCGTTTCTCCATCCCGGCCTATCCCTGTACGCAGGTTGCTCTGCGTAAGGACACTCTGGCCGTCCACGTATAGGAAGACTTTCCTGGCGGATTTTCGTACCAGCAGAACTAGGTGATGCCATTTGCCGTCGCATACTCCACGATGGCTCATGAGGTGTTGGTAGTCGTTGTTGCCGGCAAAAACAACATTCAGCTCACCGTGATGACTTCGCACTGTGACTGAAAATGTCACGTCGCCTTGCATAGGAGGGTTGACACTCGTGCCCATGACGATCGAATGGTCAATGTTGGGCTTCTCCAGCAATCTGAACATGAGCTCCTGGTGTGGTCCAAAGAGCTCTTACGGCATCCGAGCGTGACCTCACCTCCCAAGTTCTGATGAAGCCAAGCGTCCAATGACAGCTCATCTCCCGACATCAGCGACTTGAAGGCCGAGGATGCTTCGCCTGCAACTTGGGTTTCCCTCGAGCGCCGGAACCGACAGCGATTCAATCGGATTCTCTCCCCGGCCTCCAAGCTTCAGGTACCCAGACTTTCCGGACCCAGCTGAGAACCAAGAGTGAGTTGGCAGCGCCTTAGTCTCAAGCTGCTCAATCGCCAAACACACCACCCCTCCTTGGGCTTTCCCACGGGAAAGTTGTTTTTTGATGGTCAAGGCAGCTGGTGAAATCCGCCAAGCTGTCCAATTGAGTGCCCAACGCCGATTGCTACCAACATCATAAAGGATTATATATATATATATATATATATGCCAAACAGCTTATTGAGGTTGGCACCACGTTGACTCCTTGTCCATTCTCGTCAGCCATCACTCTGGACAGAATATTTAGAAGCTTTCCACAAAGAAAGACCCCTTTCAAAATGTTCAAGCTACCTCAGTTGGGTGTTTGGCCTGCAAAAGCCAGCCTGGGTATACAGGCAGACCTTCGAGATGTCGTAGAGGTCAGACACAAACTGGCCCTGCACGCAGCCAGAAAACAGCCATGACCCTGGATGAAGGGGCAAACTTTCCCGAAAAGTGACCCCCAGATCCCGCAAATGGGACACTCCCCAGTTAAAAACCGCAAAATTCACGATCCTGGGTTCCCAATAGACCGTGCGAAAGCAAATCCCTCGTCTCTTCTTTGCAGCTCCCCGCTGAAAGCCATACCGAAGAACCCAAAAGCTAGAATCCTGGAATCCTGAGATGGGATTTTAGTGGTTCAAGCCCTGGATACTGAAAGAGTACGCATGAGGACACCCACGGCAAACCCATGATGTATGAGCCAACTCTGAACTTCCCTGCGTTGGCAGGGAGAAGTCCTTCCACCCCCCGTTCCCAAAATTCCGCTCACTCAGGAGGGCACACCAAGGGCAAGTGCAAACACAGCCTATGTACGGCGAGGAGACCAGGGTGCCATATTCATCCAGGAAAGGCGGGCAAAACTCTTCTGCACCCATACATGTCCACCTGAGCGTTGTTGAGGCCGCTCAAAAACTCTCGAACGGGTCAGTTTGTCCGTTTTCTTCCTTTCGGGTATTCGGAAGGCTCGCGGCTCAAGCTGTGAAAAAGCTCATGCATGAAGCTCCATGTTGCCAGAAAGTGCCCCCGAAGCTTTTCTGCTTCGCCCCCAGAAGCTCCAGGTGCGCGAATCAGTGTCCGGCTTTTCGAACTGCGCGAGGGGCGCCTGACTGTTCACAAAGTCCGGGTTGCTTCCAACACCGTCGCCGTAAGAGCCATCCAGCTCGTAGGCTGAGACCAAATCGGCCTTTCGAGCCCGCAAACTGGGGCTCTGGACGGGATGAGAGGGAATTCGGTTACACCTAGCCAAAACCAAAAGGGATCTGGAGGGAGCTAGGGAAACCATCTCTTTTTGGCCGAACTCGCAGACAAAAACAGCTATCCGCGAATTCTATCAGTAATTTCAAAACATGGGGCAGGCACTGGAGGCTCAAGCACAGACCCACGTCATAGGCACACGCAAAATAATCGCACATGCACTGTCTGCTGAGTTTCCTGGGTATATTTCTCTGCCCACAGGGTAGCCTGCAAAAAGACTGTGAATCCGCATGGAAACATAAAGGATGCCGTAAGCCGAAACAAATCACGTTACAAGGTGTATAGGTCCCAAAATGCGATTGGGGCGTTAACGTGTTTCATCCGTGAAACTGTACCACATGGATACCTCATCACCACCTCTTGTGGGAGTCCGGTCCTATGGAAGGGCCAATGAGGACACAACCCAATACTTTCTCAGTTGCGCTTCCTTCCCCCCAACAAGTAGTCAAGCCCTTCCCGCGTAGAGCTATCTCGGTCTGGCTCATCGGAGAGTGATCATCATCATCACCAGTGTTGCCAAGGGCATCTCTGTAAGTGCCCTCGGTCGCTGCTTCAAGACCCCCACTGACTTGTTCGGATATGACTGCCTTATGACTTGTGGGTGACATGGGTTTACGCAGATTGGGTGGAACCTTCTTGCACTTAATCATCAGTCAGAATCAAGGAGGTTTCCCAATCCCACACAAGCATCTTGCCACTCCGTCTCATCTCATACCAGTCTCGAGTGTTACTGGAGCAGCACCGCGTTTGTGATCCTTGGTCCTTGGGCGCTTTCTCCTTGTTCTCCGATTCTTTCTCCTCCTTGTTCATCTTCTGTCAATCACGTTGAACAAACTCCTGCAATTCCTCGAGGGATGTTCCCGCGCCATGATGTCAAGCCAGTCGCGACACGAGATCCAGTCGCTTGGAAACTCTTGGGGATCAAGACAATCGAGCCACACTTACAGATCCTCGATCAGCACTTGAGCCGTGTCATTCTCTCCGGCCCAGGCTGAGCAAAAGTTCGTTGTCAGTACCAGGGAACCCTATCCTTAAAAGCTTCAGGTCCGCTTTAGGGTCGTATGATATGCCTGAGCTGCCGTTGCAGATTACACCTTAGAATTACATCTGTCTTCTTCTTTCTTCAATCCAATTTTGAAGGGTTCTTAAATATTTCGTTTTAGGTTATTTTTATAGTATTTACTTTTATGCCTGAGCTGCCGTTGCGTTATGCGTCGGCGCCGAGGTCACCGCAGACAGCAAGACTGAATTTAGTCGCCCACAGCGTGTTGGCGCGCGTCGGTCATCGAACCCCGCGGATTGGAGCTCAGCACTTGTTGGCGGCGTTGGTCTTGGCAGTCTTGTCTCCATGCCCAAATCCTAGGGGAGGCTCTACTTTCTTGGTAGTCAACGCCAGCCGCAAGCCCTTGTCATCGGCCCTTTCCTCTTCCAGCTCCTGCGCTCATCGTACCTCCCTGTCACTTGGTCCATTTCATTCCTCAAACCATCTCGGTCTTGCCCGCCATCTCGAAGTACTATGAATCTCGAAACTCTGAGTCCTTCTTCAACTCATCCCACTCCTCGGCGTACTCAGGCTTGAGATTGTCGACTCTGCTCTTGCGCGGTGTGTCTTCGCTGAACTTGTTGTACTGCGATTCAGCCGACGTCTCTAGCTAACCTATGCTTGGAGAGTCTTCCTCCATCCACTTCTGCTTCTTGCCACTCACAGCCGCGAAACAAGATGCTGTAGACAGCGCTTCTCGAAGAAATCGTTCGTCCTTCGCTAGCAACTTTTTTCTCGAGTTCGTCTATCTGTGATCGCAACATTGTTCTTTCGCGCCGCGCACGCACATCTTCGTGATGCTCTTCTGCGCCCTTCACGCGGTCCCAAATGATGCCTTCCTCTGTTCGAACATTGTATTGTTCTCAGCATTAGCAGTCTTTTTGGCTGATAGGATCTTGCCTCAGACTGGTTTGACGTTGGGGAATTCCTCACGCTTCTTCATCGTACCATGCACCATGTTTGCTGCGTCGACTGCTTCCTCGCGCAACTTGTCCTCGCACGATAGCTCATCTTGCAATTGCATAGCTTCTTCTTCTGTCTGGATAAGTGTACGTTCTCGATACTCTCACATGCGTAACCTGGTTCTCCAGATGTCGGTTCCGCCTCTGGATCTCAAGTATACGGATCTCACTTCCTTTCTCATCGAGCTCCACATCCCCAAGCTCTCTTCTTACGAGATACCACAGTTGCTGTAGGTGCATTAATCTCGTCGTACCTCATCGCAGCATCAGCCGAATGTTCATGACCAGTCTTGACTGCAGTGGGGAGCTCGGGTTCTCACCTTTTCTCTTGTCATCGTCAGCACCTCCTGCCGAAGATCGGAGTGGAGTTTGGGAAGCCATATTCTGGCCCCCTTTGGTTCCTTTTATGGATTCGAACTTGCTGCGATTGACTGTCCACTTCCACCTGCGCTCGAATCTGGAGTCCTTGGAACGAGATCCCTTGCGCTGGCGCTGCCATCCTGGCAGAACCGCGGAACGTGACCGAGGACAGCGAGGTTCCACTGCACTTCCAAACATGCACAGCTCGTAGGTATTGCGTCAGATCCAAAGGTCCGCCTATGCCAACAAGTGGACAATCAGTGAGTCCGATTGGAAACGTAAGGTGTCCCCACAGAGTTGGTCAGGATGAACACGCCCCGCTGCTATAGTGACTTGAGCCAAAACATGTCATGTTGCAAGATGTACAGGGTACAGGACCCAAAATGACATGAAAGACAATCCTGTGCCAGAAGCCTTGCGCAAAATAAGCTCAAAGGGCCAAGAAGCCGACTTTCCCATGTCTACACCGCAGGGCTTGGCACAAGATCAAGCAACAAGTCGTTGACCCCAGCCTTGTCACATGTGCTGGGGCGGTTCGGGCCCAGCTCTTGGCCTGAGAGCGCCCTCTTCCAGAACTGCAGGCGGGCGAAATGGGCGTTCTGCTTGTAGCCAGGATGCCCATGGCACCACCTTCCAGGGGCCTGCTGGTGACATTAAATAACCTCCTTCTTGGCTCAAACACCTACTTTCGATTTCCTGCTTCCCGATGCGTAGGTGTCAAAATAGGGATATAGACCCCCAAAATGGCGGCGTTCCTTTGGGTTTCTCTTGGTCACGGAGCCTCAAAGAATGACCCACACACACACACACATGTGGCAACCAACCCTGCCTTCCACAATCCTTGCTGCCGGTGCCTAGGATGAAGTCCGTGCCGTACTTTGTAGCTGTTGCTGTCAGGGTCAGGCATGCACTGCACTCGCCGGTGGTAGGTTAAAGGGAAATAAACCCCAATTCTATACTGACTTTGATAATCGCCAAAACCAGCCCCCAAATAATGACCGCAAAGAGAGCCATTGATTTGCCCAGGTGTCCTTTTACAACCCCTTTCCCTGTCAACCAACCTAACAATGAGCCTTTTTGCCAGGTTGCAAACATCTAGGTGCTCAATCCCACGCCAACATTGCCCGATTCAAAACGTTCCCGGCCGTCTGCGCCGTTTCTCCATCCCGGCCTATCCCTGTACGCAGGTTGCTCTGCGTAAGGACACTCTGGCCGTCCACGTACAGGAAGACTTTCCTGGCGGATTTTCGTACCAGCAGAACTAGGTGATGCCATTTGCCGTCGCATACTCCACGATGGCTCATGAGGTGATGGTAGTCGTTGTTGCCGGCAAAAACAACATTCAGCTCACCGTGATGACTTCGCACTGTGACTGAAAATGTCACGTCGCCTTGCATAGGAGGGTTGACACTCGTGCCCATGACGATCGAATGGTCAATGTTGGGCTTCTCCAGCAATCTGAACATGAGCTCCTGGTGTGGTCCAAAGAGCTCTTACGGCATCCGAGCGTGACCTCACCTCTCAAGTTCTGATGAAGCCAAGCGTCCACTGACAGCTCATCTCCCGACATCATCGACTTGAAGGCCGAGGATGCTTCGCCTGCAACTTGGGTTTCCCTCGAGCGCCGGAACCACTGACAGCGATTCAATCGGATTCTCTCCCCGGCCTCCAAGCTTCAGGTACCCAGACTTTCCAGACCCAGCTGAGAACCACGAGCGGGTTGGAAAGCCCAACGGAGCCTCGACTTCCAACCCCCTTTCACTCACAGAGGCGGTGCATCCAACATCCCCACATGACTTGGATCTGTAGGTACCACCATAGACGGCAATCAAGCGTTACTTGGTGCCCCTCGATGAGCTGATTCACCCCACCTTTTAGAACAGACGCTTTCGCAGCGACACTCGGTCCTTCAATCCAAAAAGCAGCCAACAAAACACACTGCCCTCAGAATATGGTGGTTCCTCAACCGTAAAACCCCGTACATGATTGGCCGATCATTTCCAGCTGTGACTCGCATTTGTTTGGAGCCTAAATGGCCGGAAATGCCTCCGGGGTTGACTGGCTATCCCTACTAAGGGATGATTGACCACCGCATTTCTGGGCCATCCCAAAAAAAACAAGACATGCACTATATACCACAAACCGTGCGAGATCTATCGCCTGCAACAAACAATGCTTTAAGTCAGCTACTGCGGAGGCAATCGTACAAACCGACGCGCTCTTCTCGCCAAGAAATTTCCCTCTGTACCGGTGAATTGTCCGTTGCCTCCTAGCTGCGGTTGTAGTAAGTGTCGAAGTGGAAGTCGACGTACTGGTCGTCGACGTGCTGGTGGTCGACGTGCTGGTGGTCGACGTGCTGGTGGTGGTGGTCGTTGTGGAGGTCGTGGTGGTGGTCAGCAAGTGCCGCGCTTCACAAATAACGGCGGACGACACGGAGATATGTTTCAGCCTGGAGGAGCCCATGCCCATGAGACCCTGGAATGCGTGGTTGCGACGTGCCTAAAGCCAAAGGCACCTACGTCCTGTAAAAGGGCCTTCATGGGT